TCATGTTTTTGGTTTTTTTTTAAAGACACAGAGGCGAGAATTATATCTCTTTCTCCCAAATAGCAGCTCAAAATTTACAAAATTAACTGCATTGAAACATAGAACCATGGAATAAACCGGTACAAACCCCCTCAACCCCTCCCACCAATCAGGTGTCAGCACAGGTAGTAGTCCTTTGCACTCTATAGCATCCTCTTTCTTTGGTGCGATAAGATGAAACTAAAACTTAATCATAAAATTCTAATGATCCACGAACATCTGAGTCAAAAAAGAACTTGCAGAAATGTTTCCTCAGAAGTAACTGAAAATAGTAAGTTCTGTATTAAAGATTGAACTGAAGTAATACAGAAGAAAAGAAAATAACGTTAATAACCATATATAGTATTTAAAACTTTTTTTTTTTTTTAAATCCTTTAATTATAGTGTAGGCTGGTTCACAGGTTTGTCAGACATTACATATGTTACACATTTAGTAAGCATTTGTTTTTGTACATATAGTTTCATACATGGTTCGGTACGTTTGCATACAAGAGTATATTCATATACATTATGACATAGATGGGGGTTCATGTCCCCTGCGTCAGCCTTCACATTTTCACAGTTTTACCATAAGGTGGTGTGCACCGTGGTACAGAAAATACTAAATTAGTCGTGTCTTAACAAGTTTGTAGGTGGGGTTCGGCCCTCATTACTGATATCTCCCCTCTTTCCTGTTTTCACCTTTGAGGGGTCTACAATTTCAGACTCAGTCTCTGACCGTTGTTGTACTAGGTAGTTACTTCACATGGTGGGGTAAGGAGGGGGGGCAGAAAAGGGGATTGGGGAAGGGGAGGGATGCAGGGGATGCGACGGGCGCGCACCGCCCCTTTTCAGTTTTGTCTTTGATTGTGGGTGGTTCACTCAAATATTATGCAGATCAATCATCATCAAGTTCTAAATATTATACAAAAAAAGAAATCACACAATTCAAATGGGTAAAGAAAAACATTGATTATTAAAATAGGATGGGATAATACTTGTCTCTGTGCCTTTAATAAAGTCATGACTTTCTGTCATGACTTAGTAAAATCTTGGAATTTTATAGCAGGTTATGGTTACCTACATTATGCAATTTTTCAGCTAGTCCATTATCACAGCAGAAAAATCAGTAATATGTTTAAAATAAAACTGACAGAAAGTAGACTCCCGCGACCAGTCAACTGATTTTATATCTTCTAATCGCCAACCAAGGGAAAAATTATTAGACGTCATTGCACAATTAGAAGAATTTGCTCCGAATTAATAAACATTAATTCCCGCACATCTAGTTAAGGAAAATGATAAGAAAGAATATGTTATTGACCAACTGCTCAACAGAAAGCAGGAGTTCTGGTCTCATATTCTTTAAGACACAAAACCGGACACAGATTAGGATAATCTGGGAAAGATGGATAAAAGACTGATGGAATGGAAGTCTTACTGCAACAAGAAATATTAAACTCTACCCAAAAGGGAGTGTAGGAACGGGCTCCATAATCGAATGCTTGAAAATCTGAAACCCTTTCACAAGAAATAAGGCATAATAGAACAATCAATTTAGCTGAGAATTGACAAAGAAAAAGATTGGTGCTCTCTGGCCATTGCTGAATAAAGGTCAGAACAACATTCACATCCCAAGTGGAATCATATATAGGTTAAGGTGCTCTGGAAAGCTTAATACCTCTGAGTAATCTACAAATAGAATTCTTGCCAATAGGGATACCATCAGTAGTCTGAAGAAATGAGAGATCTATACACATTTATCATTTGGTAAGCTTTTCCTTGTTCAAAAAGTAAAGAAAAAAACAACAAAATACCATTTATATTTATAACGGGATCCAAATACCGTTCTCCGCACCATTTAGATAAGATGTTACATGCCGTTTTATAAGATTTTCTGGTTCCTGGATCGCAAATAAATAACAAAATTGATTCTAAGATCCCTTCAAGAAATGCAGGTCACTGGATATTTTCCATGCCAGCAGAAACAGAAGGCTTTGTTGTAATAAATCTTAGTTCGTAATGAGATCCAGAATGGATGGTAAGAGGAATGTCTATTATCAATTCCAGAAGTCGAGGGAACCATGGTTTTGTTTGCCAAAATAATATTATTAGAATTACCACAGCTTTCTGATTCTGAGTTTGAGAAATTGTTCTGGAAATCATTGGAAATGGAGAGAATGCATAATTCTTGCTCTGAGACCAATTCTGGCAAAACACATCTACATCTAGCTGGATCTGGTCTTCAACTGTGGAAGATGGAAGTTGAGTCTGGAGGCAAATAAGTCTTTTTGGATTGGTCCCCAAAGGTATTCACTTTACAAAAACATTTCCCTGTTCATTTACCCGTCGCTGTTGTCTAAAAGATGGTGCAAATGCCCATCTGCAACCGCGTTTGATAAACCTGGTAAGTATTCCGCTTGCACAGAAATATTGTGAGATAAGCAGAATTGCCAAAAATGTTTGGCTAAATTTGCCAATTCTTTGGATTTGGAACCTCCTAAATGATTGACACATTGAAGCACTGAAACATTTGGAATGATTCTTAAGAAATTAAATTTGTATTTTCTTTTATTCTTATTTTTATGTAAGATAACATACAGGCTCGCAACGCCACAACAGCAGAAGCAAGCAATTTAGGAACAATCACACAATGAAAGTCTTGATCTGCTTTTGACCATTTTCCACCACTGAAATCTTCTTCTATGTGTGTTCCCCATCCTAATCTGCTTGTATCCGATCCTATTATAACGTTCGGAATAGAGTAAAAAAATTGTCCTCCAATTCCATTGATCCATATGATGGAAGCACCATAGTAGTTCCTTTTGAAACTATTGATTAAAGGACCACTATTGTGCCAGGAAAACATTCCCGCCGGGCTCTATGGGTGGAAGGGGTTAAATGTACCTATTTTTCCAGCACCGGGCGGGGGACTCTCCTCCTCCTCCTCGGCTGAATGCGCATGCGCGGTACGAGCTGCGCACGCATTCAGACAGTCCATAGGAAAGCATTCTCAATGCTTTCCTATGGATGCTGGCATCTTCTCAGTGTGAAAATCACAGTGAGAAGCGCGGAAGCGCCTCTAGCGGCTGTCAATGACACAGCCACTAGAGGCTGGATCAACCCTATTATATACATGGCAGTTTCTCTGAAACTGCTATGTTTATAGAAGAAAGGGTTAATTCTAGCTGGACCTGGCACCCAGACCACTTCATTAAGCTGAAATAGTCTGGGTGCCTATAGTGGTCCTTTAAGCGTCTATCTGACTGTCTGAATAAGAAAGACTTTAAGGCAAAGCTTGGACTTTAGGTTGTTGAAAGGCCCTGTACTGGAATGGCGTAAGGACCCAGGAAAATGGAAGAGGAGAGAAGGCCTATCATTCTGTCAAATGTATTGGAGACATATCTGCTTTGTTTCGAGTTTGAGTTCTTTCTTGATTGATTTTTCTTTGGAGGCCGGTAGACACAGATTTCACAGAAATTCACAGAATTTACTGTGAAACCTAAAAAGTTTATGGTTTGAGTAGGAATAAGTTAATAAGAAAACTGAGGTTTTTTTAGAATTCCTGAGGTACAAGAGATGAGAATTTTTAGAACTGATTTATTTTGCAACTTCAATAGAATGCCATCTTAGTGTACTATCATCTGAACACTCCTGCTCCAAAGGAAGGCAAACACTGGTTTCAAACATTTTGTAAAACACCATGGGGTGGATGATAGACCGAATGGGATACAATTGAGCTGCTATTTGGTCTTTTTTTCCAAATGAATTGAAGACATTGGAACTCTTTTGTGATTGGAAAAGTAAGATACACATCTTTTTTATTTATTTTTGCCATCCAATCCGAAAGAATAAGAATATGTTTGAGGCGGGGGTGGGGCCTGGCTGCTGAGCTGAGAGGATGCCTGTACACATGGCTCCTGCTCTCACTGGCAAATAAAGCGACAAAATCATTAAACTACAGCGAGTACCCGACTCACAAGGGCCACAGAGCTACTGGTGACACCCGGGCAAATCAACAGGTACTAAACATGCCACAATTGAAGCGAGAATTGCCCGAGTACGGAATGCGGCCTACAAGCATGGCCGGCGCGGAGGAGGCGGCCGCTCCTCCGATGCCATTCTCTACAGGATACTCGACATTGGGCCCTCGTTCCCCCCCCTTTGGACTGGTGGGGGTCATCCCGGTCCCCATCAATGGGCAGCAGGGTCTCGCTCACAACCTCACAGCCTGCAAAGACCCAGGCCCAACACAAAGCGGGCATAGCACGCACGCCACAACACAAATGGCGCCTACAGATACAGGCCACAACGACAACATGATCATGCGATCCCTCCAACGCATAGACAGGGCATTCCAGCGCTTCTGGCAGAAATTGGAGCAGCGTATGGCACTGCAAGCACTGAAGCATATGCGGGAGGTGAGAGAAGCCGAGATGAAAGGGCCGAACATGCCCCGCTTGGGCAGACCCCAGCCGGGGGCACACACGACCCAGGCTCCCTTCCTACCTGGGCCGAAGGCCAAGAGGGGTAAACCCCCACAGCATCGCCCACGACGTCGGAGAACCGCCCGCCGCTGGCGGCGTCGCAATATCAGGGTCCTCCGCAGCACCCATAAAGGGGAAGACCCGGCTACACTGCATGCCCGAGTCTGTGGAATACAGATGCAGACCTTCCATGAGACCTGGGGCTTGAGCGGGAGCCGCCGCGGCCCAAGAAACACCTACATGAGCATCACGCAGGACCACAGAGTGGATTACCTCATACAGCACACCAGTGGCATAGGGTGAGAGATCGCAGCCCAGCTACCAGCTCTGACACAGAATAGGACTTTGGACGCTCCCTCACGACTATAATAGACTGTAAGCCTAGAGTCATGAATGCCTCTTCATTTTAACTACCTAGGCCTAGTCATCTACTCAGTTTTATTGGCTGTCAAGCACGCTAACAACTCCATAAGCTTACCCTAGCATTGTTGCAGATTCCTATAAGGATCTTTTTTTGTTTTTCCCATGCAAGCAATGTGACCTAATGCTGCCTAAACCAACAGCCAGCCTAATCTGTTAACTATGCTTATCTTATGCCCAGAATGCACAATATGTCTATGCCTTACTACATGGTATCTTGCAAAACACTTCTAACATCCCCACCATGCTAGTCTTACAATTTGGAATATACGCCAAATCTATGGAAAATGGCACTGTTGACAATAGCCCTACAACTGTCTGATATGTGATGTATTGCTAGCCTGTACTATTTCCTAGGGCAACACAAACCTGCTTATAGACCGCAGATACTGTACATAAATACCCAACTGGCTCTACACATAATGCACTAAGCTTGTCTCTTCTCCAACTTGCTTTAGTATAGGAGCAGTCAGAGTAATCTTTCACTATAGCACGCTACAGCTGAGTTTAGCCTGTGTGAATATGTTTAACGTTATGAATCTGTGTCAGAATCCTGTTATTTTAATCAGAGCGCTTAACCTGTTGTGCCATAAGCTACCAATGCCATGTTGACAAGTACTGAGCGAGAGCCTGAGCTACTAATGTTATCCAAGCATACTCATCGTAATTTAACTGAAGCTGTGCATTAATAATTAACTTTATCACATGCATGTCTAGCGTAGAATGTTTATTTCGTCTACTAATGTTACAAAGATTGTAATTTTACAGTTAACCAATAAGCCTGTTTAACCTTTAACGAACACTCGACTTGTATTAGCCTACTAGAATCATACCAAATAGACAAAGCGGATTATCAATCTTACGTTTAACTATTAATATGCCTAAATACTTTAACATGTTATTTCATATAAGCAATGTTTACTAGCCTGTTATATTCATTTTTAACAAAAAAATGTGCAAATGTAAAAAAACACGAACATGTCTGCATGAACCTGCCTGTGTTTGCTGTCGTGGCCACACGGGCCTGCATGTAAAATCTTTTGCACCAAAAATAAAGAATTTTAAAAAAAAAGAATATCTTTGAGGCAAAAGATGCCTTCCATCTTGAAATGTTGCAAAACGACATTTGCATTTAGATTCTAGATTCTTAGATTCTGTACAACTGATCTGACATCCTTTCTTTTCTTCCATGAATATATTGCTCACATAACCTGGTCAATGTATGGGAACTTGTGTATCACCTTTCATGAGTTAGGTTGAAACTTCCTAATCTACCAAAAAACTCTGCAATTGGGAAAGACCAATTGCAGGAGGCTAATCATTGCTTCTCCTGAAATTTGTGTAGGAGCCTTGGCCTTTTCTGAATTGGCCTGAAAAGACATTTCTTGGTATCTGTTACCAAGGCCATGCATCAATTTAATAGCTCAGTTTACTCAAACTAAATTGCAAAATTTAGGAAAAAATTAGATTTGAAAAATAAGCCATTTTTAGAATAGATTTGAAAAGTAAGCCAATTTCTCACTTTATATAGAGCAGTAATGTAGTGCAGTATGTGTAAACATCCATGTTTCTGAATCTTCTGCTTTTCTGTTCTAGGTCACTGAAGTCTCCCAACGCCTGGAAGAAAGGATGTATATTCTTTATGACTGTCACAATAATCTGCTTCAAGACAGGTTGCAAGAGCTCTCGGAAACTGTAGATCGAATCAGACAAGTGCAGGCTGAGCTTAAAACAGTCTGTGAGACGGTAGTTAACCTCTACAGAGACCTCTGTGTGCTTCCATAATATTCAAGAAGTAACAACTTTAGAACTTAAATTTGCCATACGCACTCAATGTAAAAACACACACTTAAACAGGGAGAAATGGTCAATATTAAATATGGCCAAATATTTAACAATGTTTGACAGTGTGAAATAATTTATAACCAGACATGGATAGTTTCAAAGTTAAACAGACTAACAACAAACACTAAGATTAGTTACAGTCTGTCTCACATTCTTTACCCCTATGTAAGTCATTTTCACAGATTTATACACAGGTAGCCAAGAGATAGCTTGCTATTCACAACAGACATCACCCGTGACGCCCTGCAAATATGAAATTCCACAACTAAAAAGCTACCTCCACTTGGCTTATATTTATCTGTATCTGTTGTAATTGTGTCTTCTTTTACATTGAGTTTTACGTATTTATTAGAGAAGCTTCCTTGTTTTGGGCTGTTTTTACTTATTTATCCTTAAGAGTTTGTAAATCTTTTTTCTCCTATGTGTTTGATTACATAAAAGCAAGAGCTGTGATTCTGTGCTTTGTTTAAGCCTTAATAAAGCATTCACAGTAAATTTATCCAGTATCTTTGTTTCCAAATTGTTTACTAGTAAAAACTTAAATACGTTGGTTTCGTATCTATACAGACTTTTTCTTTCCACTTACCATTGTGATGGGGTGGCTAGATATAAGATAAAATTGTTCCCATTACCCCCTAATAATCATTAGACTTGTGCAAAAATTTGTTTCACCGGATAAAATACCTTTTTATCCACACCCAAACAAATCCATTTGCCAATCATTTACGCATGTTTTTTTGTCTGTTTTTTTAATTAGTCATAACTGTATTTATTTTTAACAAGTCTTGTGAATGCTTGTAGTTTGGTTAATGAGCAAAAAGTGCGTGTAATTTTCCAATTTGATAAAGCCTCTATGGCGAAACGCGTTATTGGTTTTAATATATTGTATTAATAAATTATTTTACATATATTACCTTTTTATATCTATTTTATCCTTATTTACCGTTCCTGGCATATCCTAAGGTGGGGATCATACCACCCACGCGAATAAAGGCCTGCACTCTACTTGTGAGTATATTTTATTTATTTTAATTTTTCTTGCTAACTACCTCACCAGAGAGCACTATTGGCTGTTTTTTATTCTTTCCCTGAGAATTGGACACCAGCACTCTCCAGGAGGACAAGTACCCCTACAAGCAGAGGGTTATCCGCTGTATGCCCATCATACTAGAGCTGGTCCTAGCTCAAGGAAATGTGAGTGTGTAATTTATATTTTAAATTTCACGATTACTCATTTATACAATCTGCACGATTGGTTCTTTCCCATTGTGTCTTTCATATCGTGAGACAGACGATTATTACCAAAGAAGACACCACATCAGTTGAGACACCATCTATTATTGGGACCCTTTTATTGAACATTTTATTATTACTATTTTATTTGTACCTAATTTACTTGTTTTATTTACACCCCTTGGTGCTCTAAGGGTATTGCAGCGATGCCCTGATGCTGAGGCATCCTGCAATACCACTCCTGACTGCCGGGACCCCCGAGTGATCGCTCCCCCAACTACCTGAATTTGGAATGGTGATGTTACTCCACTTCAGCCAGCTCCAAGAAGCAGGTCTCCCTGTGCCTCTCATACTGATTGCTTACCTTACATAGGTTTAATTGATTATTGCTAAATACTTATGCTTCAGTTATGACTCTTAATAGTCAAGTGTCTTATCGGATTGCCGCCGAAGGCCAAGGGCGATCACCTTACCTTTACTCTAAGTTACACCCCACGGTGACTAAGTAATACTTTGAGCCACATTACCATCCGTTTCCCTACTACATGACGCTCCTAGATAGCAAACTGAGTACTGTACATAGTTCTATATTTAAGTTTGTTATTTATATTGTTTTTGTTTTAATTTCCTCCTTTGATTTAAGACCGTGCACACTGGTCAGCTCCAACCTTTTGGGGTCTCACGTTCTACGGAACATCATAACGGTGTATCAAGGGCAGAATGCCCTTCCTTTATCTATGGTCCCAGGGAGTTTAGACTCCGCATCCTGCTTATATCACTGGGTTCGATTCAGGCTATCGCCTTCATGGGAAGTCTCCTATGGGTCCGCTCAAAACAAAAAAACATATGTGCCCACTGTCTCAAATAGCGACACTACTACGCTCCCACGGTGCTAACTATATTTAACCTTAACGCCAAAGGGCTTAACTCGCCCCATAACAGGCGCCTTGCACTGAAGGAGGCCAAACTACATAATGCCCATGTGTGTTTTTTCAAGAAACCCATTTTAAATGGGGAAACAAACTTAATTCTCATCCCCGTGGTTTCCTCATGATTACCACTCTTGCTTCCAGAACAAAAAGAGGGATGTCTCGATTTTAATCATCAAAGGAATTTCTTTTACGCTACTTTGGAAGATAGGTGACAAAAAGGGGAGATACCTTATCCTACAATGCAAACTTAACAATAACCCCTATACGTTGATTAATGTCTATGGGCCGAATGAAAATCGATCGCAGTTTATGTCCAGTGTTTTGGCATTAGCTCAGTTGCACATGTTCGGGGAGGTGATTATTGGAGTTGACACAAATTTTTTGTTAGATGATACACTGGACTCTGCTACCACGGAGACACTGCAGTTTCGAACGTTACATAAATGGAGACAAATCTCTGCCCATGTCTGCCAAGCCTTAAAGTCTCACAATTTTGTGGACCCATGGAGGGTGCAACACCCGAAAGAACGGGACTTTACATATCACTCTACCGTGCATTACAGCTACTCCCGAATAGACAGATTCGTAATACACTCCACTTCTTTGACCAAGGTTGATCAGACTAGTATAGGCCTCATCACCTGGTCGGACCATGCCCCCACCACACTGTCTCTCTGTGAAGAGTTCTCTACCAGGTGTACAGGAACTTAGAGACTTAATGAACATCTACTCACCAGCCCTGCAATAGTATCCCAAATCACAGCTGACTTGCAATTCTTCTTTGAATTTAACATCCCCCCCGACACTTCCATAGACCACATCTGGCTGGCACATAAGGGGCACATTTATTAAACACGCTAGCTATGCCAAGAAGGAGTGAGAACTTAAATACGCCTCCCTCCTAACGGAACTCGCCTCCTTGACACATACAAATAAGCAAACTGCTTCACGCGAAACACTCAAAACTGTTACGATCACAATCCCAACTTCAGGATTTAGAATTGGCAAAAATCAAATTCCCATTGCAGAGAATGAAACATACATTTTTTTGCTACAAGGAACAAATCCGGTGCGCTATTGGCATCTAAACTGAGATCTAAAGCTGTCGCCTCTAGAATTGCCTACATAGAGAAACCTGGAAAAGGGAAAATTCTAGACCCTCAAAAGATTGTGAATAAATTTGCTGTTTTTTTTATAGCAATCTCTATAATTTGCACAACGACTGGTTGACCCCTACACCTTCGAAACAGGATATAGATCAATTCCTCAACACTCTCGATCTCACCACCTTGACTGACAATGATAGAGACCACCTAACGCGACTGTTTGACCTCCAAAAAATATCAATCACCCAACTGCCGACACATAAAACGCCAGGACCAGACGGACTCTCTAATAAATATTATCAAAATTTTCTGCAATACTAGCTCCCCAACTGCAGAAGGTTTTTACTCATTACTACACCACAGGGACCATGCCAACAGAAATGTTGATGGCACACATTTCCACCCTCCCGAAACTGGGCAAAGCGTTGGTTATACACATATGCTGCTGTTACAATAAAATGTTAAAAAAAACTTGTTTATGAATGTCTGCATAAGCAGATGGCATTGTCTCCCTTACCCCTTTTTTTTCTGTACCCCTCCAATATAAAAAAAAAAACCCTTTCATTTAAATACGAATTGGGGGAAAAAAGGTAAGGGAAGTAGATTGGTAGAATACTATTCAATGAAGACTTAGTGTGTTGGGGTTTTCTTGGAGCCATTAACAGTTTAATTGATATGCTTTTGTGAAAAAGTGAGTTTTTAATGATTTTTTTTGGAGTGGAGACTGGGTGAGTGTCTAACGGAAAAGGGAAGTGAGTTCCACAGGAACGGTGCAGCTCTAGAGAAGTCTTGGATATGAGCATCAGAGGTGGGAGTACGAAAATAACATTTTGGTCAGCATAACAACTTCATCTAAATGAAAATGCTATGATGCCAGGAAGCCCCTGGGTGCTCTCTTTCCTTTAAGGGGTTAAACCGCTCTCAAATGGTTTAACCCCAAAGGCTTCCTCCAGCTCCAGGTCGTTCAGTCGTATTCGGCATCTGAAACGGAGTGTCAGGAAGTGCAGATTGACATCAGGCATGGTTGCCACTGATTGTCTAGAGTTGACAGTTGACGTTCTAAGCCAATCGCTAGTTCCCGGTTCATAAAAGTTTTTTACGAATGGGGAGCTACTGATTGGCTTAGAGTGCCAGCTGACTGCTCTAGCCAATCAGCAACACCCCTACCCAGCGGCACTCTGTGCTTCCTGACACTCAGTAAATAAAAGTGAACACATTAACACTGATATTTTTTTTTACCTGGGGAGATGAGAAGGTCCAGAGTTTCCATACCAGGCCCAGGTACCAAAGCCTTATGATGTGGTGTCTAGAATAAAAAGTGGAAGGTTCACTTAATTTGTCCTTCCTGCTCCAATCTCCTTTTCTTCTCCTTCATTTGACAGTCTTCTTTTTCTTCTGACACTGTCTTCTATATTTGGCTCCTTCTGCTCCTTTACCTTTCTGCTTATTTTGCGCCCTTCTGCTCCTTTCTCATTCTGATTCCTTTCTGCTCCTTGCAGACCCTTTCTGCTCCTTCTCCTACTTTAGCTTTGTGCTCCTTGCTGTCCCTTTCTGCTCCTTCTTCTACTTTACCTTTGTGCTCCTTCTGATTCTTTCTGCTCCTTTACCTTTGTGCTCCTTCTGTCCCTGCTCCTTGCAGACCCTTCCTGATCCTTGCAGACCCTTCCTGATCCTGCCTGCTATAAACTGCCCCCCATTCACTTTAGGCTATAAACTGCCCCCCACGCCTCACTTGCCTAATCTATAAACTGCCCCCCATGCCTCACTTGCCTAATCTATAAACTGCCCCCCATGCCTCACTTGCCTAATCTATAAACTGCCCCCATGCCTCACTTGCCTAATCTATAAACTGCCCCCATGCCTCACTTGCCTAATCTATAAGCTGCCCCCATGCCTCACTTGCCTAATCCCCCCCCATGCCTCACTTGCCTAATCTATAGGCTGCCCCCCATGCCTCACTCCCCTAATCTATAGGCTGCTCCCCCATGCCTCACTCCCCTAATCTATGGGCTATTTTAAACCCCTCCCACCCCATCCCTCACTTACCTTATCTGTAGGCTGTCTCTGGCTGCATGTGTTGCTCCCCTGTGGTTTCAATCAGCAGAGAGAAGCAGGGATAAGATGCAGCTTCCTATCCCTGTCTCTCTCCATACACAGCACCGGTATTGCAGTTCATTTTAATCTTACACGAAAAATAGCAGAACAAGCAACAAAATAGCAGAACAAGCTGAAAAATTCAGGGTGGGGGGAGGGGGGCAAGTGCCCCCCCCCTGTGGTAACACTACAGCTACCTCATCCTCTTTGCTGAGCCCCCTTTTTATCAAAGTAACTTCCTCATGAGATATACTGTATGTACTCAGCCAATAAATGATCATTGTGAGCCAAGTTGCTGACATGACTCTAATCACAGTACTCTTTATGGTTTCTTCCTCCTCATTAGTGGTTTTTTTTGTATTAAATGTCCAATATTTTTTTTTCTTTTTTTTGTTTGTTTTAAATGGTTTTTATTGTTTTTGCAGTAAAAGTGCATGCATATTATGAGGAGCGAGATTCAACATAATGTTGCCTGCGCAGAGGCTCAGTGTCGTATAAAATCATAGTTACATGTGTGCCTGCGCAGAGGCTGATGAAAGTTGTACCACGCAATATCAGTCATCTGTAGGTTTCAAGCTTATAAAGTCTGACCTGCGATGCTTATTGTCTAGTAATGCTATTGTTAATATCATGCAGTGTAAAACAGTACAGGCATGGCAACGTAGGAAGCACTTGATCGCCTTCGCTAGAGTTTGCAAGATCCCTCATATGTGATGAGTGTAGTGTGTTAACCGTGCAGAGGTGTGTTGCTGACTGACATGCTAAACGTCGGGGAAAACTAAAACGCGGTTCCGCGCGTCTGGATAATTGTGTCTATGCATCTATTTTTCCATTCGTTTAAGTTGTGCTTATCTGGGCATTATGCCTTTTCCCTAGTGAGCGCTGTAACGTAAATGGCATGCTAATTTTTTTATTTTTTTTTTATTTATTTTTTTTATTAACTATGTATGGAGTGCTTAATAAAAATAATAATGAAACTGTGCATTTCTGACTACGTTGCTAAATTCAAGCTCTAGGCACCTAGTCTTTAACTGCAGGTCTAGACGGTCTTACAGGTAGGTACCGTGCTAAAGGTTTTCGTGGTTCAATCTTTAGATACTTAGCAATTGTGATATCTACCCCTATATAATAAGGCTTTGAAATATGCTGAATTTGCTTTATGTATAGTTTAACTTGGCAGGCGCCATTGTTTTTATGCCCGAGTTTAAACCTGTGGGTATTCAGCACACGACGCAGTCACAATGCATTAGGTAATTGTTACCTGGAGTGCAACATTTTAAGAAAACTAAAAAGAGAACAGTCTGTATTAACTTGTGAACTTTAACTCTTTTGTGGCCAAAGCAGCACATTTGTCTGGTATTGTGTGGCCATGGTAAATCATAGTTGTTAGCATTATGACAATGTTTCCGTATTTGCACAATAGGTATGCTATGCAGTAGATATACAGATATTAAAAATAACTTTCAAACTTTTGGCAGAGGTATTATATTAAGCAAAACCAAGGCTTATCCATGGGTGTTATGGCTGCTTCTGGTTAATTACTGAATAGGCATGCCATGGAATTAGTGTATACGAATAGAAAATAAAGATGAAAATTAAAACTTCAGTAACAAGGTGTATCTGAATCTGGGTCTATGAAACCCTAATAGGGGAGTCTCTCCACTGGAGGTGGCGTTGTGGTGCCCGATGGTAAAGAATGTCCAGTGTGAGGTCAGTGGCCTCCTGTGGGGTATCTGTGCTGGCTTTCCTCTGCTGTGTCCTCTTGCAGGCTTATGCCTGGTGTGCATATATTTGCCAAGCAGGTCCCTCATTGCAGGGTCCCCTCGGCTCCCTTGGTGTGACTAATCCCCTCTGTTCCCCTCGGGCCTGCTCTGGCCGGTCATTCGATGGTTCCACAGTGCTGTGGGCACTCAGGGCTGTCAGCTGCCTGGCAGACTCCCCCCCCGAAAAGTCCTCGGGCCCCTCGTCCCCTGCACCTCCCCAGCTCCTGTAGTTCCCCGTTGGAGCTCCAGCCCCATTAGGCCTCACCCCTCTCCGGCCTCTTGCATGTCGCTGGCGCTTGTCGCCCCGGCCACCGGGGGTCCAACTTACCCCAGCGTCATAGGGCTCACAGAGTCGGGGCCGGGCCTCCCTGGACCACCACCAAATCCAGGGGTTAGGGCCGGCTCCGTGTCGACTGTTCTGCCACCCGGTGAGGTCCGTCTGTGGGATCTGCCGTCCCTAAGGATCCAGGTGTCCCCGCGTGGCTCCCCGTAGCGAGCGTGTTCCGCGGCCATCTTGACACCACGTGGGAAAGGGCTCCGCCATGTGTGCGCCTTCTGCCTCCCGTCTCCAGAGAACTGACTCATGGGCCAGGATCACCCCCGCCGGCCCGAGGGGGGGGGAACGGGGCCGGGGCCGGTCCCCCCCTCTCTCGTCTGGGCTCGCGGCTTCTGCGTGTAGGCCTCATGCGGTCATCGCGCTCCAGCAGGGCGGGCTGCTCGGTGTCGGCCCGGCAGGCCGTGCTCCTGTGCCTCTCCCCGCCCGGTGCCCATGCCTGCCCCGGCTTCAGGTGCGCTTTCAGTGCTGTATTTCAGTGTATTTAAGCGATTCGTAGCCGGAGCTGGCATGGATAGCTGCCGCTCGGCTTGGCGGCCCGGCCCCGCCCCCCTCATTAGTGGTTCTCAATCTAGTCCTAAAAGGCCTAGGTTTTATCGATATCCTCACTGGAACTGGAACTGAATTGAAGGATGCCATAAGCCTGGGCTATTGAGGTCCTTGAGACCAGACTGAGAACTGCTGTCCTGTTTGGTAATCAGAAATTTCACTGGGAAACAACTGGCTCACCATAACTTGATTGGAAGATTGGGATCATCTTGTCCAAGGAAGTGGGTCATATAGCGTTCTCATTTGGAGCTCCTCAAACTCTTCGATGAGCTTCCAATCTCTGGAAAGAACTCTTCTCCCTGCAATCAAAAGCTATAATGGCTATGCAGATTTTGTGTACAATGATTCATTGAAAACTAATTTGGGAGGTTCATCAAAGTGTGCTGCAAAAAATTAAAGAGGTGTAATCACCAATGGAATGTGTCTTCTGGTTAACTGGATTCCATAGTGATTGCCCCATCATAACACTTCCAGAATAAAAATAATGTAACTGAAATAAAAAAATACTCAAAGATGCATGTATCCTATAAAATACTTTCATTAAAGTTTTATCCTTCGACACAAGAGTCTAATAGCATCACAACAATACGAAGCATTAAATGTTTATTCAAAAGTCGAAAACAAAAATTCCCTTTCTTTCTGTTCATGAGGGGGGACAGTAGAATATTTATTGGTGGCTTGTTTTACGGTAAACCTATTAAATTGTATTTAGGTAAATAAAAGGACAAGACTATTGGGTAAGAAGTAGAGAATGGATACGAAAAATCTTTCACAATTTATTTTTAATTTTATAGTATGATATGCATTAACTATTAAATCGTGTTTTAACAAAAATAAATGTTTTTAGTTTAAATTCAAAATTGCCTACTTACATTCATTACTGTATGTTTAACTGTTTCCGTCGATTAAATGAACTTTACATATTTTATTTTCTGTGCTTCAAAATGCTAGAAGTGGAACAATTTTTATCTTGCACTTTCTTACATGTGCTTCCACTCAAGAAGTGAAATGTAATACTGCTTTTCCCGCTAGCTGAATTCTGACACGGATCTGAGAATAATTTAGTTTAGAATGTTCAGCTGTTTGAAACAGGCGTATCTTTCAATGTTTTGGAAACTTGTATACAGACAAAGAGATATTATAGCAACTGTCATGTAAGACACAAAATGTCATTTCAATATTGTTTCCTTTAAAATCATGATATATCCGTGAACTTGGGAGGAAGCCAATGTTTATTTTCCAACCGTAAACGACTGCAGTCCTGTGATGGCTCTTCCAATAATTAAGGCATGGACATCATGGGTACCTGTTAAGAGTATATGTGAGTATAGTGAGGGCAGCTATGACTCAATTCAGTTTATATCAGATATCTAGATAAACAGTCCTTATCCATTCACACAGAGCAGTACCGCCACCTAGAGTCAGACACAGAGATAAACAGTCCTCATCCATTCACACAGAGCAATATCGCCACCTATGGTCAAACACTGAGATAAACAGTCCTTATCCATTCACACAGAGCAGTACCGCCACCTATGGTCAAACACTGAGATAAACCGTCTTCATCCATTCATACAGAGCAATATCGCCACCTAGGGTCAGACACTGAGATAAACCGTCTTCATCCATTCACACAGAGCAGTATTGCCACCAAGGGGTCAGATAGTGAGATGCATATTCCTTATCCATTCACTATGACGTGTACCGCCACCTAGGGTACAAACCCAGAGACAAAACGTTTATGTTAATGCAGCTATACCTTCATATGTGTTGACTGCCTCCAGGTTCATTACATGTCTGATGATATGGTATTCATCAGAAATCCCATTGCCTCCAAGCATGTCCCTTGCCTGTCGGCTAATATCCAGTGCCTTTCCGCATGAATTCCTCTTCAATATAGAGATCATCTCTGGAGTGGCTCTAAAAGACCAACGGAGAGAAATGAATGTCACGTTTAGGCTATGCCCACCGCACAGAATAATAAACACAAGCAAACATAAACCCAATAAATATCAAGAGGAAGCCACTTCAGTCATGAGCAGTTTGTTCAACGGACTTCCTTGTTTGCTCAGTTTTCACTAACACTATATAGAGGTAAAGAACCTTGAGACCCTGAAAAGAAACCAACAGAAACCTAGAAAGATGGAAAAACACCAGGAAAAGAATTTTTGTGTAGAAGGCCTGCGTGAAATGTGCAGTGCATATACTTTCACGTATATTTTATAATCACGTATATTGACTTTTTAATGTTTTGCCTCCTCTACCTTCTCCTTACACCTGCCTGTGCTGCCATATTGAGTGATCTCTTATTAGACCCAAGATCACTCTATCATATTATGTTGCTCGTTCACAGAGTGATAGCATCACCGGTCATTATCCTGTACATGCAGTTCACAGCAAGCCAGCTCTGACAGTGGTCATTCTTTGAAATTAGTGAATATTTGACTTGGGGAACTGTTTTATTGCACTGTTTTCATTCTTAAATCATGATGTGTTGTCAGCTTCTCTATGTGTGCTGACACACAAACAGAGCCTGACATGCACAGCATGGCATAGAAACTACTAAAAACAAAAACAACTTGGCGAGATTGTTGGGAATGAAGTCAAAATGGAAAGAGAACGCAGTCAGAGATGCCAGGCGGGAAACTACAAAGGGTATTTTTGAGGGCAATGACATCATCGGTTATCACTGAGAACAAACCGGAAAAAGCCAAAATGCTGGATTACAGTCAATTCAGTCCCGAATAATGCAACAAAGCAGTACAAACAGGGGGACTAATATGTATATATATTTTTTTAAATGAATATTAAAGGGACACTATAGGCACCCAGACTGCTTCCTCTCATTGCAGTAGTCTTGGTGCAGTGTCCCCTGAATACTGTTTTCATGCTGAATTATAGATGCCCTCAATCCCAGCTAAGCTCTGCCTTAGAGTGAGACAGACCTGTAGTTACCCTAAATGTGATCATTCTCACAGTGATGATTTAAATAACTTATTTCTAGTGATAAACGTGATCCAATTAGTGTTTTTTCCTCAAATGCTTATGACAGTTGTATAAAGAGATTTTTGCTGATTCTACACATCTGAACAACGTTACAGCCACAGACTGTTGCTCACTTGTCCTGGTCTTTGAGTCGGCCCAGTTGCAGACATGCTTGTAGGCCAATGGTAATTTCTGTCAGCATATCTGCCAATTTCTTCTGGATCAGCTGGTTCCGGGCAAGGGGCACGCCAAACTGAATCCTAAAATTAAAACAAATATGAAGAATATGTGTTATACAGTCTCAATTCAATTTCTAGTACCTACAATGGAGTATTAACGTAGACTGCAGCTACTCATTTACACATACCGGTACTGTTAAATTACTAAAAAGTGGTAAACAAATTTTAAAAAATGTTGAGTAATAACATACTGAATGTTTCTGTTGATTCCATTGGTTTTCACGGTGACCGCACCACTTCTAGAATTTTGCACAGCTTTTCAGATCACAACAATGAACGTCTCCCAAGATATTTTAGCACAAATATTTGAAATATGTATTTAAACTTCATACATGGAACTGGACTGTTAAAACAATTGGTCCATACCTGTCTAAAGTGTATTGTCTCGCCGTATGAAAACAAAACTCAGCGGCACCCAGTGCCCCCCATGAAATTCCATAACGAGCATTATTCAAACAGCCAAATGGACCCTGGGGTATGAAACAGCACAAAATACACAAATTGTAACCATTCACAGTAACAGCGGGGAGAGATTATACAGTATAATGTAAGATAGACCCTAATGACCTATACATGAGAGTAATAGGAGGAGTTACAGGGAGAGGTTATATGGAGTAATAGGAGGAGTTATAGGGAGAGGTTATATGGAATAATAGGAGGAGTTATAAAGAGAGATAATACGGAGTAATAGGAGGAGTTATAGAGATAGGTTATATGGAGTAATAGAGGAGTTATAGGGAGAGGTTATATGGAGTAATAGGAGGAGTTATAGGGAGAGGTTATATGGAGTAATAGGAGGAGTTATAGGGAGAGGTTATATGGAGTAATAGGAGGAGTTATAGGGAGAGGTTATATTGAGTAATATGAGGAGTTATAGGGAAAGGTTATATGGAGTAATAGGAGGAGTTATAGAGAGAGGTTATATGGAGTAATAGGAGGAGTTATAGGGAGAGGTTATATGGAGTAATAGGAGGAGTTATAGAGAGAGGTTATATGGAGCAATAGGAGGAGTTATAGGGAGAGGTTATATGGAGTAATAGGAGGAGTTATAGGGAGAGGTTATATGGAGTAATAGGAGGAGTTATAGGGAGAGGTTATATGGAGTAATAGGAGGAGTTATAGAGAGTAATAGGAGGAGTTATAGACGGAGGTTATATGGAGTAATAGGAGGAGTTATAGGGAGAGGTTATATTTAGTAATAGGAGGAGTTATAGGGAGAGGTTATATGGAGTAATAGGAGGAGTTATAGGGAGAGGTTATATGGAGTAATAGGAGGAGTTATAGAGAGTAATAGGAGGAGTTATAGACGGAGGTTATATGGAGTAATAGGAGGAGTTATAGGGAGAGGTTATATTTAGTAATAGGAGGAGTTATAGGGAGAGGTTATATGCAGTAATAGGAGGAGTTATAGGGAGAGGTTATATGGAGTAATAGGAGGAGTTATAGGGAGAGGTTATATTTAGTAATAGGAGGAGTTATAGGGAGAGGTTATATGGAGTAATAGGAGGAGTTATAGAGAGACATTTTATGGAGTAATATAGCACTGGTGACTCACTGATAGCCCAGATACATGGGGAAGTAGGTTTTCCTCAGGTATCTCCACATCTTCCATCAGAATCATGCCTGTCGCAGATGCTCGCAGAGAAAACTTGCCCTCTATTTTAGGGGTGGATAACCCCTTTGTGCCTCTTTCTATCAGGAATCCCCGGATTTTACCATCTTCACACGTAGCCCAAACCACACACAGGTCGGCAATGGGGGAGTTAGTAATCCTATGGATAGAAATTCATAAAATATGTTGTAAATATAATTATCAACAGAAAGATCCTGTGTGTGATTATACAGAATAAACATTATAACTTCACCTTCAAAACACCAACACTCTATGTCACTTAACTGTATCTAAAGCACCATAACCACTACAAAGTGCTCTAATAGTTGTGGTGTCAGGAGTACCCTGGCTCCCCCACCCAGAACGAAAATAATCAATCTGACTTCTTACCTTGTGTTTGCTGGGTACCGTTCCCTGCCTTCTCTCAGCCTCCAGGTTAGCTCTCCTGAGCTAAGCGCTCCCAGTGCAGAGCCACCATATTGGCTGAGAGCGTCAGCTGATCTCTCTCAGCCAATGAGCTAAGCCACGCATTACTTAACTTAGAGATGAGTATAAGCAGGGAGCGGCGCAAGCAGACCTCAGGTAAGGAGGCACACCATTACTGATGAGTCTACTACTTACTGGGGGGTGTCAGTGTACCCCCGGCATCATAACCATAGCAGTGCACTGTAGTGGTTATGGTGTTCGGACTGTTCCTTTAAGGTTTGCAAAAGCTGTTATAATATCAATAGAAGTGCTCTTTTGAATTTACTAAAAGTTTATTAAACAATGTGAGCATCATTCACATGGAATATCATGGAAGGTAAAGGCAGCATAGACGATGCCGGCACCCTGCCACACTGGAACAAGGCCTTCAAAGTACTGCCATGGTCAGTATTTTATAGAAAGGCAATATCCAAAGCTTGCATGGTACTTAATAATCTAATTTTAATATTATGTAAGAGGATATTCTAAACTCATAACAACTTATGTTCGTTGAAAATATTTGCTCATTGCGTGCATGTCTTTCAAGTCTCTAACCCCTCCGAAGGAATCCAAACTATGATTGCGCGCATTATAGATTGGGCAACTGGGATTGGATAACTAAACTGCAAATGGAGCGCACAGCAAGCCAACAGCAGCCTCAGCTTAAGCATCGATGTCACTACACAATTAACAGGATTGCTACCCCAGACCGGACCACTTATCCCATTATACGCTGCAATGCAAGCCTTTATGGGAGAAGCAGAGACTGTTTTGAAGATAATAAGAGGCTCCTGATTGGCTTACACATTTCCTGATTTAATTATATATCACTGCATGCTGTAAGACCTGAGAATATCTAGCAAATGCAGGATCTTTAATATTCCATATGATTTATCATTAATAATTTGTATTTTTAAATGCATAATGTATATTGCACTAAGCATCTGTGTTGTGGCATCCTGGCATGGAATATCCCTTTAAAGGAAGAGAGGGAGAATGTACAGTAACAACTGCTGGAGTCAGAATGCAGCACCTCCCCCTAGTGGCCATCAGGGTGTATACAGTGTACGTCACAGTTGCTCATACCATGTTTTGGACCCATTGAGTGTGTACGTTTTGCTGCTTGGGTTGTATCTAGCCCTGGTTTCCATTCCAGAGGGGTCGCTGCCGTGGTTTGGTTCTGTAAGCCCAAAGCAGCCCAATAACTCTCCCCTCGCTGTCATATAAAGAGAAAAAAGCGATATCAATAATGACAAAATAACGATCTCAAGAAAGAGAACCAATAACATTACTGCAGATATTTCCCTTTGCATTGCTACATACACACACCGTCATGCAATCCATCATGGTCTTTATCACCAAACACAGCGATCTGTGTTTAACCCCTTAAGGACCAAACTTCAGGAATAAAAGGGAATCATGACATGTCACACATGCCACGTGTCCTTAAGGGGTTAAGGTTTATGGCAAAACACCTTTAATCTCAAACACCTAATACAATGGAATGAGGCTGTTTTTCTCTTCCCCAACATCAAAGTTAGTTTTTTTCTTTATTGACACTTGTTCCTGGACAATATTCAAAGTAATCAGAAATGGAATTGGAGAATTAAGAGTTAAAGGGACACACCAAGCACCAATATCACTTAATACTTCATTAATATGCTGCATTTTTTTTTAAAACTTTTGTATGCTCAAATCTTTATAGTTTTTGCACACACACAAAAATGTAGTGAGTAAAGGAGACAGGTAGTGAGTTAAATTAACTCATTCAGTGCTGTTAGTGCATATTAATGAGGTCAAAACCAAAACACATGTAAGTTGTATTGGTACACAGAGAGTTTCTTTAAGAAGTCTTCCAAAATGGCTATTTAGGTCCAAAATTAGCAATTCCCAAAATTCTTGATTTGAAAAAAGACCACATAGCGTGGTTGAAAATGTCTGATGTTGTGTGTTGACTTCATTGAAAGTCTGCATATCCCAGTTGGAGCGCTCAGATCCTTCTTTTTTATTTCACAACTCTTGGTTTAGTGAATAAACCACAATTTGCAGGTTAAACTAGGAGTATTGAAGACAAAAGCCAGAGTACCTTTATCCAAAGCACATTCAGTGCTACACCATGAAATGTATGCGTCACGCACATACCTAGTCTGGGCAGGTATTTTTGTTTCTGTTCCTCTGACCCATAGGCATTGATAGGATGCATGACAAGGGAGGACTGGACGCTCATTACAGATCGATAACTGCTGTCCACACGCTCCACCTCTCGCGCCAACAAACCATATGCAACGTAGGATGTTCCAGCACAACCGTAACCTGAGGAACAATCAAACAGAATGGTATACAGCATTATTATGCAGATAAACGGAGTTAAACTTGGCCCTCCAACTGCATTATTTGTTTAATTCACTGTCAGGCAGAATTGTGGGATCTGTAGTCCAACAGCTAAGTCTGGACAGCCCGATATAGATTAATATTTCCAAGCACTGAATAATAAATGCCACACAGATACATATTGATACAAACGGACACCACACACACACACACACGCCGTCATACCTTTAATCGTAGAACCTAGGACTCCAAGCTCTCCCATCTCTGACATAATCTCCCGGTTGAATACTGTAAGCAAGGGAAGGGTTAACAATTAATATGGGAAGCACAGGATGTTACAGCACAAATGCTTAGTGCACTAATAGCAGGGAAGGGATCGGCCATATTGTGCACGTTTGGTGGAGGAATAATTAGATGAATGAGAAGATGCAGGGAATGTGTAGAAAGTTAAAGGGACACTATAGTCACATAGCTTAATGAAGCAGTTTGTGTATAGATCATGCCTCTGATGTCTCACTTAGAAGTTAAATCACTTTTGTTTTTGTTTATGCAGCCATAGCCACACCCCCCTGGCTGTGACTGACACAGCCTGCATGAATCACGACCCATATGTTAACTTGTTTTAGAACTTGTTTTATATCCTGCTCTGTAAATTGAACTGTAATCAGACAATGTGTCTAACAGGCTATTAACAAAGGAGGAAATAGGAAATTCTAACTTAAACAGAGTGGCAATAGAGGAAGTGTAAATATTAGATCTCTCTTTACAGGAAGTGCAGGGCATGTGTGACTAGGGCTGCATAAACAGTATTATTTTGTTTTGAACGTATTTATTGTCAGGAGTTAGAGAGAAATACCAAGCAGGATAGTCACATTTTAAAATAGCAGAGTTGAGTCTAATGTCTTGCGGATCTTACATTACTTTTTTTGTTTAACCCCTTAACGCCGTTACGGCGTTCTATGCCGTCGCGGCTTTAAAGCCGTTGCGGCGGCATAGAACGCCGTAATGGCTTTCAGCCCCAGGGGATCGCAGCTACTTACCTCCGCTGCGATCCTCTTCTGGAGGGCTGCCAGGCAGCCCTCCTCCGGCAAGTGAGGCCGTCATACGTTGTGTATTTTAATACTAATATTAGTACATATATTAGTATTAAAATACACTTAGAATGAGGTTACATATATAATATGTATATATATATGATATATACACATATATTATATATATATATACGTATACATACATTAATAAATAAAATAATAAAATAAATAAAATATTGAAACAAAATTTTATTAAAATTATATATTCATATGTAATTTCATTCTAACTGTATTTTGTTATTAATATATATATATTGGTAACAAAATACACTTAGAATGACATTCTATATATATCTATATATATATATATATATATATACACATACATAAAGAATCAGTGAAGCAAGGCACTCCTCCTCCAGCTATATATTCAATATAAATGCCCAGGTGCAAACCCGCGTTATATATACCCAACAATAGTAGTCCAGGGAGCACACTGGGTCTTCAAATTAGTGAAAAAAATTCCTTTTAATGTATCA